CCACGCTCGCTCAAGACGGGTTGGTGATTTCAATCTTATAATTTAATTATAAGTCCAGGTTTCCTCACGATGTTTTCCTTCACCGTCTGTACGTTGGACATAGAATTATTAAATTTGCTACATAAATAGATAAACTGTAGGGACGTCTTTTCAACTCGAGAGCAGCATTCTGCCTCTCCAATACTTACTACTTGAGTATTTACTCTAAACCTTTTTACATCTGTACTACACATTTTACAATTTCTAGAAACTCTGAAACTGTACCTTCTTTGTGTTACTTAGAAAAATATTTTTCGTATTTCTAACAACTATTTACGACCAAATAATCAAGATACTACATTTTATCTTAGGAAAGTTAAGAATGATGAAAGATTATAAAAATTCAAGCTGGTTGAACAACAGAAGCTTTTCTTTGAATTATTATATTACAAATAATTAAATTGAGTAATATATGTTAATTGTGTAAATAAAATAACTATTCATTAATTATGTATTGTTATAAAGAACGTAACACTATCTATATATATAAAAATGAATTGCTGTTCGTTAGTCTCACTAAAACTCGAGAACGGCTGAACGGATTTATCTTATCTTAGTCTTGAAATGTTCGTGGAGGTTCAGGAAAGGTTTAAAAGATAAAAAAAATTGATTCATTTCCGGGAAAACCATAAAAACAGCCCTTTTCTATTTCCCATACAAACGTTTTTTGACATTAGATTTGACAACTAACTAATATGCCAGTCATTCTGTTAGATGAAAACAGGAAAAATTTAATAAATGCCAACACCTGGTTATTTAAGACGGAATAGAGTTTGCCCGGTCAGCTATACATATATTAATGACGAAATTAACGCGGACGAAGTTGCTTCCAAAAACTAGTCATATATAAAAAACATCGCCTTGGGTACGTATGTCTTAAGTTATAAGATATAATATTCCACCTCAATCAGATTATCTTGGAAACAAAAGGATTTTCAACACCTAGAAACTGAAACAGCTAATTTAAATACAGATGTTAATAAGTCTTTCCAGTTGTTCTGGAAATTCTAAATATATTGTAAAACTTTTAGAAGTCTATTTCTTGTAAAGTATCAATTATAGCTTGTACATACTTTCTTAGTTTGGTTTATAACATATATATATATACTAGTTTTTACCAGGGACTTTATATGCGTTAGTTTCAGTATTAGTAATGTATATACCGGGCGAATTAAATTCCTATTTAAAGACAGCAGATAAGACTTTGTATTTGATCAACTTATTTTATTTTTTCAGTCATATGTAAAGTACCCTATATCCTTTTTATGTTCTAATCTATCTCTCCACCAATCTTCATCCAAACCCGTACAGTTTAGAGTTATATATAGTGTAACTAACACGACTTTCTTTTATATAATATTTGCAGTACATAACATGTTTTCCCTAATTTAAATATAAAGCAGTTGTCAGAGTAAGTAGGGCGTGTGTAATTAGTAATGTGTCCCCGAGGTGGTGTACATTTTTAATTTATTACTTGCTAGTTCTGACGGCCTGGCTAATTTATATTTGCCCTTTAAAATATTTTCACCTCACTTTATATTTAAGAAACAAAAACACATACACATATATATATATCGAAATATATATGAGAAAAGCTGTTGCTAAATTAAGATACAAATTCATGTAGATATGAGGATATAAATCTAGTTTAAATAATGAGATTTAAGTTTTTCGCGAGTATTCATTTAAATGAAATTAATATTTTCGGATTTACTACGCGGTTTTTTATCTTCTATATATATAAAAATGGATTGCTGTTCCTTAGTCTCGCTAAAACTCGAGAACGGCTTAACCGATTTGGCAAATTTTAGTTTTGAAATACTCCTGAAAGTCCAGGGAAGGTTTAAAAGGTGAAAAAAATTGGAATAATTGCCGGGAAAACCCTAAAAACAGCCCTTTTCTATTTCCCATACAAACGATTTTTTGACATTAGACTTGACAACTAACTAATATGTCAATCATTCTGTTCGATTGAAACATTAGAAATTTAATAAATACCAATACCTGGTTATTTAAGACGGAATAGAGTTCGCCCGGTCAGCTATACATATATTACTAATGACGAAATTAACGCGGACGAAGTCGCGGGCAAAAACTAGTTTTTGATATATATATATACATACTCCCGACGTTTCGGTTACTTTACAGCAACCGTGATCACGGGCAGAAGAGATGTGAGTTCTCATTGTAAAGTAGCCGAAACGTTGGGAGTATGTAGTTTATGGTCAAAAATAAAGAAATCGCGTAGTAAATCCGAAAATATAAGTCTCATTTAAATCTAGTTTAGCTAACTAGCTGTCTAGATTGAGAAGAATTTAATACAATAGTTATAGTTGTATTAGTTTAGTAAATTCTTCTTCCACTGACTTTAGAATAAGTCGTCTGAACCAACGAACTGAACTGAATAGGGAAAACAAAATGTATTAAAATTTAACAAATGAATTTAATATCTTTACTATACGTTTGCAAATCAAACTGATAGTTACTAGTTTATTTGTCGTAATTACGTTGTTACTCTAGTATACTATATCTGTATATATAAAAAAAGTCGTGTTAGTTACACTATTTATAACTCAAGAACGCTGTAGTTTAAAAGAGTATAGATATTTATCACCATATATTTTTCTCTTTACGTCAAAACCATAAATAAGGCAGACGAAGTCGCGATCATAAACTAGTGTAAATATTTTTAAAGTATTTCTTTTAATTTTGCATAATAACACCCAAATATTTTATTATTATACATCGCAAGTCCAATTAGTCCAAATTAATACGAAGCATAGTACGGATGTAATATTATTTCAGATACGCTTTCATTTCCCCTACACTACGCTTGTTAACGCTGTGAATTTCAAGCCCTAGTTACTTCATCGATTTCATATTAATAACTTTACCTTTACCCCACATATTGTGTAGTGCTTGGTTTGGAATGGTGCTTGGTATGAAGTATGGCGAATCGATGCGCTTGTATTGTAAATAATATGTGTAATTCTACATGAAGTTTTCACTGAATAAAAGTATTGAATTGAACTATTGTGCTTGGTGTGGTTTGTGCTAAATTTTGTGGAATTTATGTTATAAAAAGGTTGCTTTATTTTCATTTTCAAAGCTACTTTAAGTAAGATTTCTATTAAAACATATATAATAGATCTTCTATTTAATTATTAATTCTCAAGATATGTATAACAAAGGAAAATTCATTACTATCTTCGTGTTAATGTAAATTATAACATAAAGGGAATATATTTTAAAGGAATTCTGTGTTATACTAAATTTACCTTATTTTAGGACTATTATCAGACGCTGTGTCTTATGTTTATGGGCTTTTATAAAGCTTTCGACAGCAACAAAACCTCGGCTACGCAAGAGGCTTCATAGAAATACCTTATAGACAACAAATTCATCCAAATTTTGAAGTATTTGCATGAAATAGCCACGTTGTCCGTACAAATACAAAGATAGAAAAAGAAAAATCACATTCAAGGAGTCAAATAGGGAGGTTATATCTTTGGAAAAATGTTTACAAATGCTTTGGAAGACGTCTTAATATAACAGAAAGTCTTTTTCGGAATGTAGGACTTAGAAGTCATGATGAGAAATAACCAAGAGAAAACGTAACTACAATACAAGACCAAAGTTATGATCAATAGTAATTTTTCTCTTATGAGAGTGTCCATTAACGTACTTTACCTTCATAGCTTGAGACCGTCTTGAATTCGTGTTAGAATAAAAGTATCTTAGCTGAAAAATTTGCTCAGTTCAGTCATCACAACTTTTAAAACGAAGACACGAGAAGCATATGTTACACAAGCATATAAGCATATTTCGGTGTCATCTATCCCACAATAGAAGACCACAAATTTTAACCAGTGTCTTTCCAATCTTGGACTTTTCAGCCCAGACGAATTCCAACAAGAGTGTAAACTCATTGATAGTACAAATAGAATAAGCAAGACAAGATAAACCAAGTGTAGGATCTCCTGCACCAGGAAGGACCTTGGATTTGAGGTGTATGCTGCCAGGATTGGTATATTTGGAGCACCTTTAAGGTGTCCAACTTTTGGAACTAGCCAGAATTAACCTGAGCTGATTGGAATTGGCTTAAATGAATATTAAAGAGTACACTTGAATTATTTCACACATACATATCTATGTAAATGCTTATGAATACTTAGAAATAAATACGACTTTATTCATTCATTAAATTCTATAAATTGAACTATCTTCATTGCTTTATTTTATATAATTCACAATTTTGAAAATATATTAAATGAAGTATGCAAAATAAAAGGAAATTTAAAAGTATATCTAGGTATAAAAAGAATGAAAATTTTCTAGAGGAAAATGTGGTCGGATTTTCAATTGGATTTCGAATATCTGTTTCTGTCTCGCGAAGTAAATCCGTTGCAGATTTAATGAGGTCTATATAAGGGCAGTGTCATTATGACAAACTCGTAAACTTTCATATAAATAATGAAAGAATCCCCTTCGTTATTTGAGGTGTTGTTTACCTCAGGTATAACCGTACAATAAAACCGTCAGCCTTTATGGCATCTCGTCTCGTTATAGGAAGATATTTCATGTTAAACTTATTGTTATTTAAAGCTTTGTCATGCAAGAAAAGAATGTTTGTAATTATAATTTAACATTTAAATGAAACTAATATTTTTTTGGATTATATTACGAGTATTTTATTATAGTAAAATACACCTGATTATTGCTGAAAAGTAACCGAAACGTCGGTAGTATGTAGTTAATATAATAAAATACGCGTAGTATCCGAAAAATATTAGTTTCATTTAAATAAATACTCGCGAAATACCTAATTATTATAATTTAAAGTATTGCAAATAAAAAAAATATCAAAAAAAATTACTCAATAGTTATAAATGCCACAAATAACTGGACGGTAATAAAATAACTCGCTCGTAAATAAAATAACTACGCCGTAAATAACTTACCTAGCTTATTGTTGTTCCCGTGCGGGTGTTGATGGTGGTGTTGTTGCTGTGGTATTTGCGGCATCAGTGCTGGGTGTGGTAGTTGCAGCAGCTTCGGCTCGAGCTTGGTTGCTGCTGCAACAGGTATTGGTCCAGCATTCGTCATTGTCGTCATCGTGGCAGCTGGCATCATGAGCGTCGACATCGTTAGCATGTTGATAATAATCACCACACGTAATTTCAGACGTACGCCATTTTTTTTTAAATCTTAAGTCAAAATATCAATCACTTGTAAAAATATGAAGTCTATCACATAATATACTTTTAAACACTAAATCACTTGGTAGTTTTCGTATAGATATTTTTTTAAATATATAATTTTTTTATTTCGTTTTGTTTTATTTTTATATATTTTTTTTGTTGTATTACGAGTATATATTTTATTTTCCTAATTTATATCAATCTAATCTATGGCGCCTGAAATTATTATTATTTACGGTTTTTTAAATATTTATTTATGATTTTTTTGGTGATTTTTTATGTTTTAAAAAGAGGTTGTAGCAATGTTGATAATCAAATAGATTAAGATCATTCTGACCACTAAAATGGTCGAAAGTAATTTCGAAAATAAGTTATGATTTGGCGTAATCTTATTCATCTGAAAAACTCTTTTAATGGGTTAAATGAAACAATTATGAAAGACAATTAAATGGGGTTTAAAATAAAAAGAAATATTAAATACGAAAATTATGATAAAAATAATAAATATAACTATAAAATACAAAAGAAATTGCTACAACCTCAAAAGACTAACAATATTTAAGCTGTGGTCTTGTTCTGAAAAAAATATATATCATATTCATTTATTTAGTATTAATTAATTACTTTATTATATACATTAAAAGCTTATCAGCTTAATTTAATAGGCTATATAGTGCTAATTTCACTCTACTTTGCTCGTATTTAGTTAAAGATGATTCAAGGGAATGTAAATATTGAAGTAATTTAGATAATATGGAATTTCTTGCATCGAGCGATATAATTTTTTATCAAATAATAAATTATAACTGTATAAAAATCGAATTGTTTTCAAGTACAAAAAAGAAAAGCATATAAAAACAAGTACAACAAAGAAACAACATATAAAACTGAAATTACAACATCAGTGAAGGAATGTATCAATTTACATTTTTGAGGTTTATAATAAAATTATATAATATAGAAGGCTCAAGACGGGTTGGTGATTTCAAACTTATAATTTGATATAAGTCAATGTTTCCTTACGATGTTTTCCTTCATTAATCAGTGATGTCTAAATACTCTTATAAGTACATATGACTCGGAACATCACATTGGTACTTGACAGGTTTCGAACCCGCAACCTCATGCATGAGAGACCTTTAATCGTCAGGCTACCACGATTTTTTGCAATATATAAAATAATTTTAATTTATATGTTTTGATGATATTAAGACGTTTCATTTCCAGTGTTTGTCTTAATAATATGATAAACGGATAAATTAAATTTTTATTAGTATCTAAACTAATGAGAACACGCGAGTTTGTCTATCAAAATATCAAATATTTAACATATAATATAAGTTAAGAAAAAACTTATAGTTTCCCAACAAAATTATCTGCTTTATGTTCATCTTAACTCTGTCATCTTTTTATCTCTGCACATATTTTCTTTGACAAAATCTATTGTTATTTCTCTCAAACATAATTCATAATTCTCAAAGAAACATACAACTTTGATCGAATAAAAATAGTTCAAAGAGTGGAAAAAACTATATTTAGCTACAATTATATCTATCAACCTTTTTATCCACAATATGTGGAAAGATTCCAGAAGCTTAATGTGTTGGAAAAAGGATATACGTGGAATTTTGGTAATTTTTTTTTGGATGGGCAGCAGATCAGGCTTGAATAATACAAAACGGTTTCCCTGTTCAAGGATATAGAAATAGGTTCCAGGTCAGTTTGTCCTTTGAAAGGAAAATTAGCAAAAAGAAGCATAAAGTTTCGTAGAAAATGTTTAAGATATGATATATATTTAAAATTAACCGAATATTGCTTACTCTTACTCGTAGTCTGGCCCGGGCAAGTACCAATGTGATTTTTCAGAGTCATATGTACTTTTAACATTATTTAGACATCACTGATTAATGCTGATTCCCAAAAGAGGGTTGATGTCAGGCAGGCGGTCGGTCGTAAAAACAATTAGCCAAAACTATTCACATGTAAGGCCGACTCTGGCTATAGCCGGGAAATTGCCAGGTAGAAGAAGATTGCTTACTCTTATCAAACTTGATTTTAAAAACAGATAGACTTATATGTTACAACACTATTTGATGAGAATTCTATTCAATTCTTTGACGAATTATAAATTATAAGTGGAAGAGAATACAATATATTTATATAAATACTAGAAGACCCGGCAAACTTCGTATCGCCCTATAATCAAGAAATATCTGTTAAGTACGTTTTTTTATTTATATTTTTGGAGTTTACCTATTAAAGCCATAAATCTCCGTGTTTTGAAGTGCGACAGAATAATTGACATATTAGTTAGTTGTCAAATCTAATGTCAAAAAAAAACGTTTGTATCAACAACTACTAATAAATTAAAAATTAATTAAAAAAACATTGTCCAGCCGAATTAATTGTGAATCTATACAATTACCAGATTCCCTTGAACACACACAAAAAATTTCATCAAAATCGGTCCAGTCGTTTGAGAGAAGTTCAGTGACATACACACTCACAGAAGAATTATATATAAAGATATTAAATTAGGTTTGTTTTAAGGGTAATACGATAATGCTCTACTTGATAGCATGCGTCTACTTTCCAGTGTTTCCTTAAGGAGTTGTTCCAGGAAATGTCTCCATGTGACTATATGAGTATGTTAAGGATGTATGGGACTGTACTGAAGAAGTCACAGCATCAGGTCAGAACGCTCTCAGTAGTGAGGAGTCGTGTGTCATGAATACTATATGAGGATCTACAGAGAGAAGAAGATGATAGACACAGAATATACACCAGGATAAATGTATTAGGCTTCTTAGAATTAAGGAGTGAACTATCCTACTAATATTATAAATGCCAAAGTAACTCTGTCTGTTTGTCTGTTACGCTTTCAAGCCTAAAGCAACTGATTTTAATGAAATTTGGTACAGAGATAGATTTGACGTTGAGAAATAACATAGGATAGTTTTTATTCCAGACTTTTGAAAGGTTCTCTTGGAAACGCGATATAACCGAACTCCACGCGGGCGAAGCTGCGGGCGGTAAGCTAGTTTCCTATAAAAATAATATTGCTCAGAACTATGTTTTACATTTCATAAATCCCAAAAATGAAATATGTATTTAAAAGAGTTATTCTTATAAAAGAATCTTTATTCTTTTATTATATATACACAATATAAAATACACACGAAAATTTAAAGATTGATTAATCAGAGTTAAATGAATCTATAGATCCATATTTAGAAATTCATGCCTTTGTAAATTGATTTGAGACTGAAAAATATTTCTATATTGTTTTGGAATCAATATATAAACATTTATAGGGTGAGTTGATGAAAATTATCTACAAAAGCAGACTCTGGACCTGCTTTTTTTTGGTATTTTGCATATATTTTGCCAAATAAGCTATAACGTCGAGACATATTGACGAATTCAACTTCTAAAACGACATAAGTTTCTACAGAGCTTCGAATTTATCACTAGTAACTGAATATTTTTTAAATATTATTATGTATAAATATTATATATTAATTGTTTCAAGAAGTAAAAAAGTACAATAGTCCATAGTCTACTAAATTGTAACCACAGCTAGTCTCTTAATGCAATCTAGCCATTGTAACACAGTATTATATCTAAAAAGTTTAACAAAATCGTGGTTTTTTGAGAAATATCATACAAAAATGTCTTTTTAATAGTATTATTATGTAGTCTGGAGTAATTTTTACCTTATTACATATAATAGAAGTTGTTTAATATTTGCCAAATAACATCAATACTTATATTTGAGTTCTCAATTCTGTTTTAAAGACTGTAGTTTGTTTTAAAATAGCTGTGATCATTGACTGACGAGACGAGACCTAACTTCGTGTTCACTTAAATAAGATTATTGAATGATAGTTATAAATGTTTTTACTTCTGATGATTTTGTTAGTAAATTAATTAATTATTATTAAATATTTATATATGAGTATCTTAAATTATAATGAAAATGATTATAACATATGTAAATATATATAATTTTTGGATGTTTCATAAACCTTTCTCTTAATTGATACAAATTTAATTTCATCTCGTCAATACCTATGGATTAGTCCAGAAATATATACATATACAGGGTGACTGGTGAATTACTATCGATACTTGAGGACGTGATATTTGACAATCATATATTTTTTTACATAATTCGAATGAGAATCATGTACCGAGTATTCTCCTTAAATATTGATAGTAATTCACCAGTCACCCTGTATATATATACATGTATTCTCCTGTACGTATGTATGTCTCTATATAGTTTATATTCGCCTACAGAACTAATAATCTTTATGATATTAATCGGATATTAGACAAAGGTATTGAATTACATAATTTAGGGCTATCACTTGGTATATTATTATCCAATTAAGTCTGAATATTTAATGATTTTGTCACATTACTTGTGTATGGTTAGGTCTTTATAAGTTCCTTCAGACGTTTAGGCTAATGTAATTTCAAATCTGAAATGGTTTTTATGTATTAAAAATGAATATTGGATTTTGATTCCCAAAACAGGTTTGATGTCGGGCAGGCGGCCGGTCGTAATAACAATTAGACAAAACTATTCACAACATGTAAGGCAGACCCTGGCTAAAGCTGGGAAAATTGCCAGGTAGAAGAAAAAGAAAAAGGAAAATATTTGATTGAAAAAATGTAAAATGTATGGGTTATTACAAATCTGAGAATGGAAAGATCATTTGTAATTATCAAAGATTTTGACGAGTATTCATTTAAATGAAACTAATATTTTTAGATTACTATTCCATTTTTTATTTGGTTCCTGAAAAGTAACCGAAAGGTCGAGAGTATGTAGTTTTTAAAAATAATAAAATAACGTACTAATCCAGAAAATAAGTTTAATTTACATAATTCGTGTTAACTAATTCATATAATCCTTTACATTTTGTTTAAACCATAAAAACCTGC